CACACACACTCTCACACACACACACACACACACACACACACACACAAATTAGACAACTGATGATGATTGTGTTCATATTGAGATCCTGTGACTGCAGGGAAATCTAAGTATGTTGGCAAATCTGAATGCAAAAACCAGGAGATGTTTGAATAGAAAACAGGTGGAATAAAATCAAAGTGAAACCACTTTAGTGACAAATTTTATTTCCATAAACTAATGCAGCTAAATTATGAAAGTCTTTCATTTTGACTCCCATTTGAGATTTTTTCTATGGAAGCATATAGGTAGCGAAATTCAATTTAAAATGCAAATAATTTAAATTTGCCATTTCCAACAGTAGTCTTAATATGTAAATTGCATGCAAATTTGAATGCTTTATAAGTTGCGAAATGAAAATGAAAATGTATAACACACATTGATTTGATATGTGTAACATGTCCAAGCAGAAATGGTAACATAATGATCATTTAAATGCTATTTGTCCTAAATGCATTTAGACACTCACGCACACGCTCACGCACACACACACACACACACACTCACGCACACACACTCACGCACACACACACACTCACTCACTCACTCACTCACTCGCATGCACATACGCACACACATACGCACACACACACACACACTCACTCACTCACGCACACACTCACACACTCACGCACAAACACACACTCACTCACTCACTCACTCACTCGCATGCACATACGCACACACATACGCACACACACACACACACTCACTCACTCACTCACTCACTCGCATGCACATACGCACACACATACGCACACACACACACACACTCACTCACTCACGCACACACACACACACACAGTGTCTTTCTCTTCAATCACTGCTGAAATGCCACATCTGATCAGGAATCAGTTTCCTGTTTGTGAAGAGTCCCTACTGTAACAGAGGAAGACTTCCTCCTCCATATCGCTCTTGTTCTCAATCTCTCTGTTTTTCCAGTTTTCATTCGGCATGCACTAAATGTCCTTTTTATTTGAGTGTATAGTAACACAGTATGTCAGTATTGAGACATTTTTATAATATAATGTTGTACAATATTGTTTTTTTTCTTGACCACTTCGCTATTTGTGAGCCTGGAGCACAAAAGCAGTCTTAAGTGAAGATATTTTGTAAATTTCCTACCGTAAATGTATCAAAACTTAATTTTTGATTTGTAATATGCATTGCTAAGAACTTAATTTGGACAAATTTAAAGGCAATTTTCTCAATATTTAGATTTTTTTGCACCCTCAGATTCCAGATTTTCAAATAGTTGTATCTCAGCCAAATATTGTCATATCCTTACAAACCACATACATCAATGGAAAGCTTATTTATTCAGATGTATAAATCTCAATTGAATTCTCAAAATGACCCTTATGACTGGTTTTGTGGTCCAGGTTCATATTTGATTCGTGTGTTTACATCTAATTGAATACATTAACTGATTTCCCCCCTTTTAGGCTCATATAAACCTAAAATTTGTCACAGAATCCCCACTGAAATCATTCTGTCTGTTCCTCTGATCTGCGCTCTAGCTCTCCGGAGGGTGCGAGCTGACGGTGGTCCTGCAGGACTTCGTGGCGAGCGGCACGTCTGAGCTCAGCGTCCAGACCGGTCAGACGGTGGAGCTGTTGGAGCGGCCCAGCGACCGGCCGGGATGGTGTCTGGTCCGGACCACAGACAAGAGCCCTCCTCAGGAGGGACTGGTGCCCAGCAGCGCTCTGTGTATCTCTCACTCTCGCAGCAGTGTGGAGATGGACTGCTTTTTCCCAGCAGGCAAAGGTAAGAGCAGGAGCTTCTCAATCGACTGAAAGATTCTCGGTTCTGCTCTTGTGTTAGTAGATAAGCATATGATTTTTGAAAATTTTTCTTCACTTAGAGTACACACTACTCTTCAAAAGTTTGGGGTTGGTAAGATTTTTCAAATATTTTTGAAAGAAGTCTCTTCTGCTCACCAAGGCTGCATTTATTTGAGTAAAAATACAGTAAAATGGTACTAACGGGAAATATTATTATAATTTAAATGAACTGTTTTCAAGATTAATATATTTTAAAATGTAATTTATTTTCTGTGAGTCAAAGCTGAATTTTCATCATCATTACAGTGTCACGTGATCTTTCAGAAACCATTCTAATATGCTGATTTTCTGTTTAAGAAATATATGATCAATGTTGAAAACAATTGCTTCTTATTATTTTTGTAAAAACAGTGTTATTTTTTTCCCACAAAGTTCAAATGAACAGCAGTTATTTAAAATAAAACTATTTTGTAACATTAGAAATCTCTGTCATGTTTGATCAATTTAATGCATATTTTCTAAATACGAAAATCAATTTCTTAAAAAACAAAAAAAAAGTGACCCTGGACCACAAAACCAGTCATAAGGGTAAATTTTTCGAAATTGAGATTTATAATAAATAATAACTGAATAAATAAGCTTTCCATTGATACAATATTTGGCTGAGAAAGAACAATTAGAAAATCTGGAATCTGAGGGTGCAAAAAA